TTCTTTCAAAGTGCAGAGGAAAAACGTGCTAACAAGAGACTGGGATTACTTCTATAACTGGAAGGAACTGCTGTCTTCCTCTCATCGCAATATGTTGCTTTTTTTAAAAAAAGGACTTAGGGAGAAAAAAATCTGGGAGAGACCGAGCGGAGAAAAATAAGAGACCGAAATGGGTAAAAGATGTTGGGCTCTTACGAGGGAAACTTTCCAAATAGCCCTTTTAAACGTGGGTCTCGGGGGTTAACTAAACAAAGACAGTCTAGGCTGGACCACACCGAAGGGGATTGGAGCTTGACTTAACCCAGATGAGAGCGAGGTCTTGTTCAATTTTATGGGAATTTCAACAAGTAACAAATACAGACGACCTTGTCCACTGCCTCGGTTTTCTCGTCGGCGACCTGCTGTCAATCATCTGATGAGTCCCTCTCTCCACTCCCCCCCTCCACGTCTCCGTCCCCCTCCCCCACAGCTTTCTTTTTAAGCATGTGATAGGAAAACTGAAGCCCTTCTCTAGTGGAAATGACTTCTGGAAGAAACTCCCCCCCCTTTTTTTTTTTAAATGAAGAGAGGTGGGTGCAAATGAAGACGCCCCGATCCTCCAAAAGGAACACTTACAGAAGGGTTGGTTTTAAAGTTGGCTCTGGGGGGAGGGGAAGGAATTTTCTTTTGCACAGCTCCCTACACTTTGATTCTGATCTCAGCGCAGTTCGGCCTTTCATTTAATTTGCACGCGGGCAAATTCCTCGGGAGCAAACGGGATCCCAGCTATTCAGTGATGCTTCGAGAGGAAAAGTGGCAACCTCTGAGCTCATCTGTCTCCCCCTGTATTCTCATCTAGCACGTCAGAACACACCCAGGTGTTTTCTCCCTCTCCGTGATTCTTTGTAAAAGTGCATTCATTCTCCAAACAATGCGGTCTGCTGGTTTCTAAGACACACTCGTTGAAGAGGTCCTTTTTAAATCCCAAAACTTTTTCGAGAATATTTCCCCCGCCTCCCCCAACTTTTGCGCTCTTGGGTTGGGAAAAGATGTTAAAACTCGGTCTTCAACCCAAGGGAAGCAACCGGCACCCTTTCTGGAAGACTGCTAGTAGATCTGCGGAGACTTCAACTCCACGGGTACCCTTTGACCGCAACCAGAGGCTGACATTCTGCTTGTTCGTGCGGCTGCTTTGATGCACGTTGCAGACAATAAGATATGAGCAGCTTCGCTGCTTCCAGTTGAAGTAGAATTGCAGGCCTCGTAAAGTTCGTGCTTGGTGTTGCAACCCTTCAAACTAGTTTTTCCCAGGTGGACTTCTTGAAGTCAGTTGGGCTCTTTGAACTACTAGGTTGCCAGCGCTCTTAAAACAACGGTAACACAATATCCTTAATTTTATTTAAATAAAAGGCTGTCCATTTGGGACTCGAAGCTCATGCCTATTTAGCTGGAAGTAAACTGCAGAAAAACTTACTTCTGAGTAAGAGTAGACGTTACTTTGCTTACGCTGGAAGAGACAAAAAAAACCCAGACATAACCTTGTTTGTTTAGTGGGCTGGGATGAGTGACTAGTGAATATAACAATAAACAATCCGTTTCCAGTTTAATTTAACAATATGAAGTAGAAGAAAATCGGAGGGAAAGAAAGAAAGAAAGAAAGAAAGAAAGAAAGAAAGAAAGAAAGAAAGAAAGAAAGAAAGAGAAAGAAAGAAAGAAAGAAAGAAAGAAAGAAAGAAAGAAAGAAAGAAAGGCAGGCAGGCAGGCAGGCAGGCAGGCAGGCAGGCAGGCAGAAGACAGACAGACAGACAGAGAGAGAGACATTTTGCTGTTCTGGTTGGAAGCCGGCAGTCAATCCCATTCATCTTTACTAGGAAGTAGACATCATCGCACTTTCAACGAGACTTACATTACAGTCTCATGCAAGTGTGCTTTAACTTGCTTTTAACTGTAGTAGGGCTTAGTTAATAGGACCACAGCTTTATAAGAAAAGGTGAAATTATAGAGTTTAACCTATATTTGGCAAGTGGGGGGGGAGAGGGCATTATGGGTGAAATGAAATGGCCATGAAAGTGCACGGGAGAGGAGGTGTAAAGCCTGGTGGGCAAAAAAAAGCTGCCCCTGAGATTCCCCCCACACACACATACCATTAATTTGCGTTGCGTGGGCTGTCGGTCTTTCAGATTAGCTACAACCAGGCTCGGTGTTATACGTGCCTAGAAGCAACGGCAGTCTGGTTCACCTGACTACCGAGATCCCTTAACATTGAAACGGAAAGTGCACGGGATCGGGACCGTCAATGAGTCAGATTCCGACGGGACAGCGAGAAGATCGCGGTCCACCGCGCTAAGCCGCAGGGTCTCCAGAGTCTCCGCCCCGCCCCGACTACCGGGTGAGGGGAAGCTGCTCTTTTATGAGCCGCGGGAGCTGTAATTTCTGTCCCCGACGATTTTTATCGGCCGGTAAAGCCCCATCAAATCACGCCCGGTTTAGCGCCGCGGAGATGCTAAATCCCGGGGCCTTGGGAGCCTCCCGCCCTCTTCCCCCCGCGCCCTCTCCCAGCGAGGCCGAGCGAGATTGGAAACAGAGGCTGCTTCTCCTGGAGGCTTAGCGGCGAAGGGAGAAGAGGGAGGGCGAGTTGGAGGAGGCGGCGGCGGCGGGAGCCGGACATTTTTCGCACACTATTAAACCGAGCCGAACTGATTGAATCAGGGTTCCAATAAAGTCCGCCGGTTTCATTATGAGCATACCAGGCGGGTTATTAGAAAGACGGAGGAAATCCAGCGAAATAATCGCTCTTGCCAACGAGAGCGCTTCGGGGTGAGCGAAGGGGCAGGCGGGGGAGACTCAGGGCCGGAGCAGCGCTCTTCCCACTACTCCGCACGACCCATAGAATCTCAAGAGGGAGGAGACGGGAGGCAGCTGAAGAAAAACATCCTGGGGTTTCTTGACTTTCCACCCTTTACCTCTTTGAAAATGAAAACTGGGCTTTTCTTGTTAGAAAGTCTCCTCCTAAGCAAGAGACACCCGGATTTGGGGGTGGGGGTGGGGAGGAGAGGGAGACTCCTTATTTTTGGATCCCTTTGCCTCAGTGGCCCGGGTGTTTTGGAGGGCGAACGCTAAATTCTGGTTCTGGAACTCAAGTCTGCCTGAAAGAAAAAAGCTCTTTTCCGAGGAAGTTAAATAACCCCGAATGGCAGAACGGTCCAGGGGGACGTTTACTGAGGAAACCCGTCTGCGAACTTCTGGAGACTCTTTCTAGTTTCCAAGGTGGATGTTATCGAATTCAGCGAAGACTGCAAATTCAGCTCTGGTGAACTTAGCATATCCCAGTGGTGAGGGTAACGTTGCTCTTCCTAAGGCTGAAGTCAGACTTTACTACATTTCTAGCGAAACTTCAGGGGCGGCTCGAGGGAGTCTTCACCCCTAAATTTCCGGGGGAATGCCCCGGTTACGAGCTACCGCCGGACAGCCTAAGTCGAAACAAACATGGAAATCCAGGTGCCTGGCTCGCTTCCTTTTCCCAATTTAAACTTACAAGCGGGTTGGACTAATCAATGCACCCCCGCCCCCGGTTACAAGAATGCAGGCTAACTGGCATCTCTCTCATTCAGTCCACGCCCTTGCGGGTTTACTTGCAAACAACTCACAGCGGCTTTAATGGGACTCCCTGCCAGATGAGTGTATAGAGGTCTGGAGCCTTTAAACTCTCGGTTCCGAAGTCTCTTGTTTCTGAGTCTTTTACTCCCCGATTCTAGCCCTGCGTGTTTGGAGGGGGCACTAAATCCCAGGCACTCTGTGAATCAGGCAGGGGCGCATCGCACCCCAAAACTCATCGCTGTCCCCTCTTTAATCAATCCCCTACTGAGATGCGAGGCCACGTTCTTCTCTAGAGGCCTTTGCCACCAACTCAGAATTGATCCTGAACGTTTCCTTTTGTTAGGGACAAAGTCCTACAGTACTGAACTCGTTGGGTCTTTCCCAAGAGGTTTTGAAGATCTGCCTGGGTAGCTAAATATCACTCAGTTTAACTGGGTTGTTGCAGAGTGGCTCATTTACTGCCTGTAGATTTTTTATGGCAGAAAAATGTAAGCATCTGCACTGATCCACATATTCTTCTGCTGGTAGCTCTAACTCACGCACACCCCGCGTTTCCAACTCTTTAACCCACAGCCTTGCAAGGGGGCGGGCGGGGAGGATTCTGTTTTCTTTTCCCCAAGTCCTCACCTGACTGATCCGAGACATTTGAGGGAAGATTCTGTCGTCCCACTCACCCGTGGGGCTATGGACTCGCGTTCCTCTTGCAGCGATCTGGCTGAGGGAGCGATCCCACGCACCCTTGCGTGGAAAAAGGAAGCTCTGTGATTTCCCCACGGATTCCAGCGAAAACATCTGGGTGTTTTTTGTTTTTGACGAGCTGTACAGACTTAGTACAAATGGCAACTAGGACTTAGCTTGGGTAAACGGCGTTCTACTCCGTGGGCTCACTCAGAACTGAGAAAGAGGGACACTGGAATAAATAAGGATAATTGGGGATCTCCTGTTTCCTTAAGGTCCGCAAGCCTGAAATGTTTCTTCAAAGGAAGGGCCCCTTGAGGAAATCCACTTCCTCGCAAGGGTGAATCCCAGCCAGGAGCTTGGAGCGATTCATATTTTAGAAGATTTTACTGAAGGAGGCTATATCATAATTTTAACAGTTCTTTTCCGTTGTGTTATTAGCTACGTTTAGGTTGCAAGGCCGATTCTCGGTTCGTTCTTATTGTGAATAAGGCCGTCGTGTTACTAAATTTGTAGCTTAGATTGCTCTTTTCATTGAACTGTGAACAGATTTCGCCTACAGAAAATACGCCTCCAGAAAGGAAGCGGCTGGAAGCCCGTGGCTGCAATCCTGTCGCCACTTAGCAAAAGGAAACCCTACTGAGTGCCATGGGTCATACATAACTTCTGAATAGTCATATTTAGGACAGCCCTGGAGTCAACAGGCTAGACCTTTCCTATGCACTTCAGGTGGATGGGACTGCACGGAAAACCTTCCTGAACCAAAGTCCAAATTTTAAACTTTGGTGCACAAGCTGCATTGTGGATCTGGCTGGTTGATTGACCTCAAAGAGATCTCTTTCCCTTCCCCGCTGAATTTCAGGTCTTTGGGACAAATTCGAAGTGTCTGTCTTAAAAAGGACAAGGGCTGCGGATGACATTCTCTGCCCAAGTCAAAGACTCTAGCTTTAACGTGACTTCAGTGAAACCGTTAAAGATCAGTTTTGTGGCTCCTTAAAACTCACAGATTTGTGATGCAATCAGCTTTTTAGGACACTGTTATGGTTTCACCAGAGGCAGCATCTGCAAACGCTTGTGTCCTGCTAAATCTGTTTGTCTTCAAGGTGCCATAGGGCTCTTCTTGTTTGGGCTAGAACCGGCTAGCCCAGCCACCTCTCTGGAAAGAATCAGTTTGCGCCTGCAGCACGGTGCCTGAAGAGACCAGGCAAATCTTTCTACCAGGGTTAGGGACAAAGGTTTGCAGCATTGTTTGAAAGCATGGCTAGTTCCATTGCTTGGAACCTACATCTGAAGGAATCTGTCATGCAAATGTCTTCCATAGACTGAATGGTCTTCCCTCCCCCCCTTTGGGGTCTCGATCTTTCATTTTCTGGCACTTGGGCAGAAATCCACCCAATAGCTCAGTAGATGATAAAAACCTTCCCTTCCTTTCAGTTTTTCTGGTCTATGGGGTGTTTGGCAAAATCTGGTTTAGGCATTCCTGTACACACACTGGCCAAGCAATAGGTCCCACTGAATTCAGTGGATTTTCCTTCTGAGTAATCAAGCATAGGATTGCACTGTAAATATATTGCTTGCACAAGCCATGTGTGTTTACTCACAAAGGAGTCCCAGAGTTGACTGGGGTGCCCTCCTTGGTACAGGTGCTTAGCATTGCAGCTTTAGTCACAATAGCATCAGAGATCACCTTTGAGCAAAGCTCCTTTGTTTTCTATACAGAGATCCAAGCACAAGCTCGGCTCAACTCTAATAAAGAAATTTAATAAAGAACTTAAAAGTTGGGCCAGTGTGCACAACCTTGGGATGTTAGCTGCATGGGACTTGTATCCAGATGAGCATGGCTAGAATCTGTTGGTAAAAATATTTAACTCTGTAACCAGAACCTTTCCCATTAAACAGGTGATGGAACTTCCCTTGTTACTCCTGGCCATAGTGAAACCAGGAACATGGAATCACTTCATTCTGAAAGTTGGCGATAGGCTCCTTGGGGGGTGCGGGTGGGGCCCTTTGCCTCCCTTCACAGGCTGGCTTCTCTTCTTCCTGGTACCAATTTCTTTATTACTCATATAGCAAATCTTTCTCCCAACCTACACAATTGTCCTCACACGATCCCTTGTGAACCCCGGGGTGGAATTCCGGACAGCCAGGCTTACCTCGTTATTTTCAGGAGTCCAGCCTGCCTACACAGTGATTATTATGTTTGGGTCTTGGTGTCCTTTTTGTTTGTGTAAAGTTAGCCAAAAAACCCAGTAAAATATTTAGAAAATTAATTTTCAGTCTGTTTTTATTTTATTTAACGAAAATATGACACAGGCACTGCTGCATAGATTACAGTGGCTCCAGCCGAAAGTTTCCCTTTCCTTTTGGAGCTGTGTTTGTGTCTGGCTTGCTTCTTGGCCAGGGTGGTGTTTCATCCTGCAGGAGAAGGAGCCACCGTGTGACCTAAAAGATCTGGGTCGGAGGGTGCCTTCAACTTTAATGCAAAGCAGGTCAGCATGTCTTTACCCGGAAAAAGGCCAGGGCGTATCCTCTGCCAGAGGACCTGCCTTTCTCCCCTGTTAGGCGTCAGTCTACTTGTTTTTCTCACAGCCACCCTGGGAGGTAGGACAGGTAGCAAAAAGGGTGTTCATCCAACTGAACTTCATGGGCCAGTCGGTGTTTGAACTTTTCTCTCCTCCTGATCCTAGTTAGACATTCACACACACGAGAGAGATGTTGAAGGGAACCATCTGAGCTCCGAGCCGACCCAACACATTTTGCTGGCTGGGATCAGCAAATGGGGCCTTCCCACCTTTCTCGGTATCAAAATCAGGCCCCTTCATTTCCCCCAAATATTTCAACAGGGAAGCAACTTATGGCTTCACGGCCCTTGGCGTGATGCTCCGGGTCTGGTACCCGAGGTCGCAGCTCCCTCCTGCCTCGCGGTCGGGCCGGGCCCCTTCCGGTATTGATCTATTGGTGGACTCGCTCCCTCTTTGTCTCGCTTCTTCCCGCAGTGGGATTGCCGCGCTACCAGCATCACCCCTCGCCGGTCTGCGACAGAAAAGATTTCGTCCTCAACTTCAACGGCATCTCTTCCTTCCACCCCTCGGCCAGCAGCTCTTATTATCACCACCACCACCACCACCAAAGCGTCTGTCAAGACATCAAGCCCTGTGTGATGTGAACATGGACTGGGAAGGCCGGATCCGAAGAAGCGGGAAAGCGGGGGGGCGCAGGCGGATTTGCGCAGCAGCTGCTCTCTCTGCGCAAGTGCAGTCCACTCAAACCACACGACGTAAGGAGACCACCTAGCTGATCCCTCCCGGCTTTACATACATCTTTCGGGTTTGCTGTATGTGAAGCGCGATCCTAAGCATGTTTAGTTTGGCAGTATGCTCCACTATAGTTAGAGAAGGTGCGCAGCCGCGCAGCCCGATCCTATGCACTCCTACCAAGCTTTACCCTCCCCATCCAAAAAAAGGTGTATCCAAACTTGAAGCCCTACGCAGGCTCGTCTGCTCATAAGCAAGTTTTAATCAGCGGGGCTTAAACCTAGATAATATATAGGAATTGAGTCTGCCCTGAGCAAGAACAGACCCCAATCCCCAGGCGCGCGCAAACAGTGGAGCGAACTTCAGTTGAACTGGATGGGACTTTCTTCCAGGAAAAGCCTGCTTGGGATCGCGCTGCGTACAAAGTCCAAGGTAGCGTCCCCTTTAATCTGTGGAAAGCTTGTTACCAGGGTCATCTAGGTTCAGAATAAAACAGCCATATTCCGTTGATAGCCAATTCTTTAAGATGATGAATAAAATGTGTGTTTTATTTGTTTTATTTGTTTTTAACTCACGTTGCCTTATCTGGAAAAATAGATATGGGCTGGATCCAGACTCGATCAGACCCATCTCCATCCAACCCCCTAGGAAACTTCTGTTAAACAACAACTTGGGTTGGGATTTGCCATCTAGCCAGTTACACAGAATTCTTCCTTTAAAAAAAAAAAGAGAAAAGGACTCACTCTTTTAAGCCTGACAGATTCTGTATAAGTAAACGACGTCCTGCGGGAGTTCAGGCCAGGTCACAATCTAGTGAGAGTTAAGCACTTTTGATCCCATTGATACCTACGGGAGTCTTGCGAAGATGTGTGCTTTGCCTCCGGAGCTCATGCATTTTCAAGCAAAGTTAAAGTCCGGCTGAACTTAAAGATTTCCCGAGTAAGTCCCTTGAAGGGTACACGAGCCTCGAACACTTGAAAGATTATCTCATTTATTGGGGTGTTAACTTTCCTCCTTTCCTACCAGATTCTCTCAGTGAAATTAATAAGGCAAAAAAGTGGCTTAACTTTAACTGGATCCTACCCCAATGTTTTTTTAAAATCTTCTTCCAACAAAAAAGTCAGTTTTGAGGGCATTGAAAGAAACGAAGAGGGAAGATGAAAAAGAAAAGAAAAGGAGAAACTGGTGTTTCTCTTTCCTCTTTTTCCAAATCTTCCCGCTGCTTTCTCCCTAGAGGTTAAGGTTTCAGCCTTAAACGTCTCCTCCCTGCCAACGACGGACTCCATTCAGCAGCACCAACCAGTATTATTAAATAAGCATTGTTTTAGATTTCTGGGATATGTGTGTGTGCGTGCGTGTGTGTGTATGTGTGTGTGTGCCCACGCTTCCAGAAAATTCCCGGATTCGGTTCCTTCGCTTTTGTTTCCTTCTCCACAGTACCACGTTTGAGGTTAGTTTGTTTTCTTTCCTTTTTTTAAAATCCAACAAAAAAGTGTTTATATCACAATCTTTAAAAAAAATATTTGAAATAAATCTTGTGTATACTCACACACTATCGCTTTTAAACCGGAGATTATAATTTGCACTTATGTATAACGTTTGTCGGTTCGTCCAAATATTGTGATGTACAAAGTTTTTGGGGTGGGTTGTTGTGGTTTTTCAATAAAAAAAAGTGTATATGACAAATAAGCTTTTCCTTTGGCTCCGTATGCAGGTCTTCCGCCTTTACTACCCAAACTTAAAAGGAAAAACACCCCGCTTGTTCCTACAGTGGCGGCCGGGACAGGATCTCGCCCTGCATTTACAGAGTCCTACTTCTACGTCACTTCCGGTAGCTCCTAGCTCGGGTCTCCCTGCACCCCGGCTGATAAACTCTCAAAAGGCCCTTCTTGGTTTCTAGTGGAGTCGTTAGCTAATTTTAGCCTCCTGGTTTACGGGTTTCATGCCTTTAAGTCCCTTCAAAATGTGGTGCACCGTTTCAGCAACGTTGGATGGGGTTGCAGTTCTTTCGGTGGGGCAGAGCCCTTGACTTCCGACCCCAAATCCTGCGTTGACCCCATTGCTCCCTTTCAAATGTTCACTGTTCCCAATCAAAGCCTTTCCCTGCGTCTGCACCTCTTTTGCGCGGCGCTTCTGCGCTCCAGGGCCATCCCGAACGGTGGCCTCTCATTTGGACATGAAAGGCAATAAAAAGTTTTCTCTGTATCCCAGCCTAACCCCGGCCTTCTAAAGGAAGGGATCTTTCCCCCCTCTGGATTTACAAGAGGGATTAGAAAGAGAGTAAATTATAAAATATCCCCCAAGCCAGCATCAGATGTGGAAGATTATCATTCCCATCACCTCCTGAGCTTGGTGGTGGAGTGGGAGTTGTAGTACATCATAGCTGAAAGGCTCCAGGATGAGAGGAGACTGGTGGTAGATAATTGCCTGTTTTCACTAGCAAGGGGGCATTTGGTAGAAGCTGTCCCCCATAAATTGCATCTGAGTGTAGTGGATGTGCATGTCCTTTTTCCTGTTGGCTGGCTAGTCTATAGCAAATCCATGGGAACCCAAGCAAAAAAGAGGAAAGCCTCATAAGGATTTGGATATGACTCTACCGCAGGAAAGGAAAGGGTGGGTGGGAAGGAAGAGGGATAGAGGTATGTATGTATGTATGTATGTATGTATGTATGTATGTATGTATGTATGTATGTATGTAT